ACTGGGTTCTTCAATTTCACATGCAACTAGACTGCACCCTGGCCACCTTTGGCTCCTCTGATAGGCTACTTCCATCTCACCAAAGGAAACACGGGGATAGGGACGATTGCTGCAAAGAGGCAAATCTTACAAGAATGGAAATCCTTGTTCCAAAAAGATTTGTTGCTGCAAAGGGAAGTCTCTGAGCAGTTCTCAGGGCATCTGGAAACTTCTCCTGGACTTGCAAGATGGGCCATAATCTGGAGAATTTTTTCCTGCCACTGTATGCTTGATGTCTGCTTATCAAGGTAATTTTTGCTATTAATCCTTTATATAACATCTCTCCACCCGTTGATTTTCTTTCTTTGTGTGTATTTGATTCTTTGTATAAAATAAGGAATAAGGAACACTGAAATGCTTTGCTCTGGCCCAGAGCTGATTAACAACATTCAGGTAGAACAGTTAGTTTAAGGACTGAACTCAGACTTTTTAATCAACACGAGGATTTGATTTCATTTGTTCTGCACAGCTGATGATCACTTCCAAGAAAAATGAAGCCAACAATGGAGTCCCAAAAGCTACAGTTCCTCCTGTGGCCACTCAAATGGTAAATGGACTGATTCTTATAGAGCCCTTTTCTACTCTCCTAGCGTACTCAAAGCATATACAACATGCCACATTCACACAAGAACTGTCTTCTATCATTCACACACATTCACACTCCGATGGATGCATCGCAGAGCAACTTGGGGTTAAGGATATTTGGCATGCAGACTAGGGGATCCAGGGATTGAACCACCAACCTTCCAATCAGCAGCTGACTCTATCACTAACTCGACCTCCTGAGCTACAGCAACCCCATTTGAAGCTGGCTTCATTTTGCCCAACATGTTTACAGCCCGATACAGTAAAAACATCAAAAAAAAACAACGATCTCAATCTCTTTGTATAGTTTCCCCTTTCATAATAACTGTGATGATGGTTTATTATTTATAACTCATCCAACTGGATAGTGGACTTGGGGGCATGGCTGCTTTGACTGACAGCTGTCCAGATGTGTGCAGCTGTACCCGCTCACTGCTGTTGGTGCTTTTTGGAGGATTTTTTATAACTAATGTTGAGTTGTTTTTTGCTACAGACCATGTGGCAGGTTTGTGCTTTTGTTTCAGTGACTGAAATTCTATTGTTTTATTAGATTGTCACTTATGTATCACTCATTTCCTAATAAATAAGTTTATTAGAACCGGTTTACAGCCTCTACAGCTAAATTTCTCCTTTGTGATGATGCAGTGATCTTTAACTCACCTGTTTGGATTTTGTGAAAGTTTAAAGTAAGCAGCGTGGCCTCTTTGACAGGCCTGCAGACAGCAGCTGCCTGGAAGCTTCCCCTGCACTGAAAGTCACTGAAAGCATTTTTACTGGCATTATCTTTCTAATCATACGACCTGCTGTGTGATA